AGCCACCTTTCTTTGCAAGGACACTCAAAAGCCTGCCATCCATGGATTCTGTCAGTGTTTTGATCTGTTCACCATCAACATTGCGTGCAGCAGCAACCACAGCCTCCCAGACACTGTTCAGAGAGGTGTACTGTTTTCCCTCCTTGTAAATCTCACATTTGATGATGGACCACAGGTTCTCAATGGGGTTCAGATCAGGTGAACAAGGAGGCCATGTCATTAGATTTTCTTCTTTTATACCCTTTCTTGCCAGCCACGCTGTGGAGTACTTGGACGCGTGTGATGGAGCATTGTCCTGCATGAAAATCATGTTTTTCTTGAAGGATGCAGACTTCTTCCTGTACCACTGCTTGAAGAAGGTGTCTTCCAGGAACTGGCAGTAGGACTGGGAGTTGAGCTTGACTCCATCCTCAACCCGAAAAGGCCCCACAAGCTCATCTTTGATGATACCAGCCCAAACCAGTACTCCACCTCCACCTTGCTGGCGTCTGAGTCGGACTGGAGCTCTCTGCCCTTTACCAATCCAGCCACGGGCCCATCCATCTGGCCCATCAAGACTCACTCTCATTTCATCAGTCCATAAAACCTTAGAAAAATCAGTCTTGAGATATTTCTTGGCCCAGTCTTGACGTTTCAGCTTGTGTGTCTTGTTCAGTGGTGGTCGTCTTTCAGCCTTTCTTACCTTGGCCATGTCTCTGAGTATTGCACACCTTGTGCTTTTGGGCACTCCAGTGATGTTGCAGCTCTGAAATATGGCCAAACTGGTGGCAAGTGGCATCGTGGCAGCTGCACGCTTGACTTTTCTCAGTTCATGGGCAGTTATTTTGCGCCTTGGTTTTTCCACACGCTTCTTGCGACCCTGTTGACTATTTTGAATGAAACGCTTGATTGTTCGATGATCACGCTTCAGAAGCTTTGCAATTTTAAGAGTGCTGCATCCCTCTGCAAGATATCTCACTATTTTTGACTTTTCTGAGCCTGTCAAGTCCTTCTTTTGACCCATTTTGCCAAAGGAAAGGAAGTTGCCTAATAATTATGCACACCTGATATAGGGTGTTGATGTCATTAGACCACACCCCTTCTCATTACAGAGATGCACATCACCTAATATGCTTAATTGGTAGTAGGCTTTCGAGCCTATACAGCTTGGAGTAAGACAAAATGCATAAAGAGGATGATGTGGTCAAAATACTAATTTGCCTAATAATTCTGCACTCCCTGTATTCTTACAAAAACCTACAAAAGAGCACATAAACAAAAATTCTACTTTTTTATCCCAATCTAAAGGCTTTTTCAAATGCAATAGCTGCATAGTCTGCAAAAACACAGACCCCAACATGAAGGCAAAAACTATGCACTTTATATCCAACAATACTAAAAAAAATGTACGCTATAAAAGACCTCATATGCTGTAATACTAAAAATGTGATATATTTACTTGAGTACCCATGCGGCTTGCAATATGTAGGCATGACTTCAAGATACTTAAAAACTAGAGTGGTGGAGCACTCTTGTAATATTGTAAAAGGCTACCCTAATCACTCCGTATCTAAACATTTTTTAAAACGTAGCAAAAATTCCAAATACCTAAAGTGTATAGGGATCCAGAAATGTAAACTCCCTTGGAGAGGTGGATATATAAAAAAAAAAACTTTAGCTCAAAAAGAATTGTATTGGGTGTTTCTTTTAAAAACCCTTGCCCCAGAAGGTTTAAATGCAGACTTTGATCTTTTTAATTTTTTATAACTATATGTACATTTTAATCTTACATAGTTACATAGTTACATTGCTGAAAAGAGACCATCAAGTTCAGCCTTCCTCACAAATGTTGTTGCTGTTGATCCAAAAGAAGGCAAAAAACCTGGTCTCCAATTTTGCCACAAACTAGGAAAAAATTCCTCCTTGACCCCAAAATAGCAGTCAGATGTCTCCTTGGATCAAGCAGCTATTACCCCACTAATTAGAAATTATATCCCTGTATGTTATGTTTTTGTAAGTATTTATCCAATTTCAGTTTAAACATCTGTATGGACTCTGACAAAACCACCTCTTCAGGCAGAGAATTCCATATACTTATTGTTCTTACTGTAAAAAAAACTTTTCTTTGCCTTAGATGAAATCTCCTTTCTTCCAGCCTAAATGTGTGACCTCGTGTCCTATATATAGCCCTGTTTATGAATAGATTTTCAGATAAAGGTTTGTACTGGCCCCGAATATATTTGTATAAAGTTATCATATGCCCTCTCGGTGCTGTTTTTCCAAACTAAACAGATTTAATTTTTTTAACCTTTCTTCATAACTAAAATGCTCCATTCCTTTTATCAATTTTGTAGCTCGTCTCTGGATCCTCTCCAGTGCCATGATATCCTTCTTTAGAACAGGCGCCCAAAATTGCACAGCATATTCAAGGTGTGGTCTTACCAGCGATTTATAAAGAGTCAAAATTATATTTTCATCCCGAGAATTTATGCCCCTATTTATACATGACAAAATCTTACTGGCCTTAGCAACTGCAGATTGACATTGCATATTGCTGCCTAATTTGTTGTATATAACAATTTCCAAATCCTTCTCGTGTGTGGTTATCCCTAATTCACTACCATTTAGTGTGTAAGTTGCTTGTGCATTCTTAACCCCGAAGTGCATAACTTTGCATTTATCTATGTTAAATTTCATCTGCCATTTTAGTGCCCAGTCCCCCAATCTATCCAAATCTCTCTGCAGCAAAGCAATATCCTGCTCACATTTTATTACTTTACAAAGTTTTGTGTCATCTTTAAACACTGATACATGGCTTTCAATGCCTATTTCAAGATCATTTATAAATATGTTAAATAGAAGTGGTCCCAAAACAGAACCCTGAGGGACACCACTTACCACTTTTGTCCAGCCTGAAAATTTACCATTAATTACAACTCGTTGTACTCTATCCTTAAGCCAATGTTCTACCCAAGAACAAGAATATTCATCTAGACCAATTTCTTTTAGTTTGAAAACTAACCTATTGTGAGGAACCGTATCAAATGCCTTGGCAAAATCCAAGTAGATCACATCCACTGCAACACCCTGACATGACCTATGTTTCATAAAACCATGCTGATTATTGCTAATAACAAAGTTCTTCCCAATGAATTCCTGAATATTAGCCCTTAATAGCCCTTCAAATATTTTCCCAGTTACACAAGTTAAGCTCACAGGTCTATAATTTCCAGGCAAGGATTTTGAACCCTTTTTAAATATAGGAACAACATCTGCCTTTCTCCAATCCTCCGGTACAACACCTGAAACAAAGGAATCTTGAAAAATTAAATACAGAGGTTCACTTATTTCCCCACTTAGCTCCTTAAGTACTTGTGGGTGAATACCGTCAGGCCCCAGAGCTTTATTTACATTAATTTTCTTTAATAGCTGTAGCACCTTGCCTTGAGTTATCCAATCACAAGTTATTTGAAAGTTTTTTGCAGCAATCATTTGCATATCTCTTGCCATAGGATCCTCATTAATATATACTGAAGAAAAATAGTTATTTAAAATTTCTGCATTTTCCAATATTATGCCATTACTGTTATTTGATTTACTTGTTTACCATTGTCTTATATGTATTTAAACATTTGTTAATAACATTATGATGTAATGTACCTCCCCATACTGTTCACTATATAATTATGCATGTTCATTCCCCTCCCCTTCTGATTATCACCTTAACCACGCCCACATGTCACACCCCCATCGGCTAGCCAGATATCTCTTATTTAGTATACCTCTTTAGGTTCCTTTTACTACTTCCATGTTTATACCATCACCCTTATATTCTCTAATTATTAGGCCCCTGCGGTCTAAAACCATTCCCCTCTGACCCATAGTCATTATAACTACCTTTCCCATAACCCCTTTATCGGACGATAACCATGTCCCTTTTCCCAAGCAGCTTGTTCTGCTCTAAAAATTACTACATTTCCCATAATTCCATCAACGACCTACGGCTGCAAAACATGCCCATCTCCTTTTCCTACCCGAGCAGCAAGGTCTGCTCTAGGTAGAATCTCACTCCTTATAATCATACACACGGCTAAAAAAAGGTGGGGTTATACCACTCACGCCTGATTCATTGAGCAGTTCACCTGCTTAATTAAATGTGAGTGAACATTTGCTATTTATACTCCTATTATTCTTTTATACAGTGAGCACTATTTCTCCCTATTTAACCCTTTTTATGGTCTGCATACTGTCGTGATATTTCCATCTCTTCACGTATCCTATAAGTGGGGATTGTACCACTCTACGCCATTCATACTAGAGCTGGTTGTAATCTCTATTACACGTGAGTAGGACCACATCAGACCCTACACTTTTATATACTGATTTTTATAGGACGTATTGCACTATTATCTTTTTTCTGTTTCCACATATGGATTCCTAAAAGTTATCCCCATCCTGCTTCTTTTGAGAACATTCTTCTCCAATCTATTTATTTAGTTTGTTACTTGGTGCAACCTTTCCCTTTGTATTTAATCTGCTCTATTTGTTAGTAGGGCTTAGAAGGAGCCCTACTTCAGGTTTCCTGCCTCTTATACACCATCTTTAAAGTTTTGGTGTTGGTTTGGTGGTGCTGTTCAGAGATAAATAAAAACATAGTTAAATCTTTTTTTTATTTTGTGATTTATTACTTCATCCTTTTCAGAAATATTGTGTATATATATATATATATATATATATATATATAAAATACAAAATCCTGTTGTCTTCCTTGCACACACACTTCAATAATTTTATGCCCGGTGCTGTCAAGCCAATGCCAAAGATATACAAAAATATAGGGAACAGAAGGCAAGCACTCACAGTCTTTTCTGGTCTCTTTAAAAGGAATTTCTTTATTTCATAGGTTAAAACTTGATTTGATCGACGTTTCAGCCAAACTTCATGGCTTTCATCAGGATCTTAACAGCTCTGAGCACACACACATACATATATACACATACATACATACATACATACATATACACACACACACACACAATGATTACACATTTGTTGTATTCCTGTTCTTGGAATATTTCACAGTCTGAAATATCAGCATACAAGCAGAAATATTATTTTGTCATAAAGTACACATGACAAGAATAGATAAGTAAAAAAAGTCAAATATTATAAAGATGTCTATTAGTAAGGAACCTGATGATTTGTTGCAATGTAGCTGTGGCTAAACTTCTATCTACAACAAAGGGAATGATAGGAAGGGGTGCTGCCCTGGAACAGCACTGTCCCTTTAAATGTGGGAACCAATACAGCAAAGAAATAAATGCCAAGATACAAATGAATAGGTTAAATAAAGATATATATATATATATATATATATATATATATATCAGAGAACCAAAAGACAAAACAAACAATATATATATATACACAATGCCACAAAATATATACAATAAATCAGGATAAGCACGAATAGTGCAGGCAACCTATACTGAAACAGTCCTTTGGTATAAGGGCAGGATTGTGCAATTACTACGAGATGTAAGTAGGGCACAGATCCAGAGTCACAAGACTAATATACTGACACCAGGAAGCAAGGTCAGAAGCAGAATAAATGAACAAGGCTGCAGGGTCAGGATCACTGGTAATAAAGCAGAGAACACAGAACCAGAACACAGGATCGGAGGGCACAGGAATGAAGAACCAGGAGGACACAGTAACGCAGGATCAGGAGGACACAGGACGAAGACCAGGAGAACACAGGAACGAAGACCAGGAGGCGCAGGACACAGGACCAAGGAGCCAGGAGCTAGAATCACAGGGAACCAGGAACCGGGGAAACAGGAGACAAGAGACAATGATCTGACAAGGAGTGAGGGGAGAAACCAAACTATATAGGTGCTAAACAAGGATCAGGGGAAGTGCTAATGAAAAGAAATTAGAAACAGTGCAAAACAGAGATAGTGGTGTAATTGGGTACTGCACAAGGGAATATCAACTAAGGAGTGTGTCGTGACATATTTGACCTCCCTGTTGTCTATGTGGAGAGTTTCCCATGAAGGTCTATATGGAGGGAGCCAATTAATCTAAAAGGGACACAATAGGCACCCAGACCACTTCGAGTCAGTGAAATCAAATTCCTGTCTTTTTAACTCTGCAATGTAAACATTAACATTTTGCTGGAACAGCTGTGATTACATTGCAGGTGTTAAATGTGCCTAGTGGGTGTCACACTGACAGCCACTAGATGCACTTATGTCCAAATAGCCAAGTGAACACAGTCAATTCAATGAGATGGTCTCATAGAGAACATTTGATTGGTGCAGTGCAGCATTTTGCAGCTCATGCGCACTAATCTCCTAATGCTTTCCTATGAGAAACCAATGGGGTGTGCATGGGCAAAAAGTTTGGTTTGGTTTGGGCCATATATTCCGGTAAGGAAAAAATGCGTCTGCTTTGGCAATTCGGACCAATGGTATTCGGTTTGGCACTTCTGCAATTCGGCACTTCTGCAATTCGGACCCTAACCCTAACCCTAAACCCTAACCCCTAACCCTAACCACTTGTTTCACCACTTTTCAGAAATCCAAAGCAATTCTGAACTTTGACAATTAGGTTCGGTTCAGCACTTCGAAAATTTGGCACTTTGCCAATTTGGAAATTTGGCAATTCGGCAATTCGAACTCCGGACATTTGTAAGCATCCGAATGTCCGAATTGCATGAAATTCGTCCAAATGTACATTCGCAATGAAACAAATTACACATGTATAGTTGAGATCATCCATCTTAATGATGTCGGCAATGTAGGTGGGACAGCATTGCAAAGACCAGCGTTGTAAGTGAGAAATGGTAAGTAAAATTACTTTTTTACAGGGGGAAGAGTGGGCAGGCACCCAAACCTTTATTAAAGTTCTATAGCATTAGGAAAATAATAGAGTGTTTCTTTAATAGGGCAAGTTAGTTTAATGACCTTGATCTTGAATGACCTTGTTTATTCATTTAACTAGTGAAATGTGAGTAACTATTGTAAAGAGTTACTATTATTATAGCATGGAATTGTAAAAAACTCTTTATAATCATATGTCATATGTAGAAGCATGTACTTGATAAACAAAATAGAGTTGACATATACAAAAGGTGAAGAGGTCTTGGCGCAAACAAGTTCGCAATCTAGGAAGCTTAAGCAGAGTTTATAGGATAAATGTTGCATAGAACTCAAAATCACTGTACGATATGTCCATTTTTGTTTCTTCACTTATCCAAGACAAATTGTTGTCTACGTGTTCCTTTATGCTTGCATATTTTAGGATTTGCGTGGAAATATAAGTCTTGTTTACATAAAACCACCAGAATAAACACACAAACTAAGATCTGTTCAACCTTTTCTCCATAATACCACATTGTGTTAGTTCATACGGAATCATTACATTTTTATTGATTCATTAAATTTGAATAGTTTTTTGTGATATGAATAGTGAGTGTGCAATCGGATGGTAGTATATTCTTAACAAATCCTTCTGTTTTATTCATACAATGAACTTTGATTAGTTTTAGTATTTCTGTATCATCTTTACCAAAACCTGTAAACATTAGATTTATTGACTACTAAATTGAATAAAACCAGAAGCTCAACTTGGCTATAACTTATCTTCATGTGAACAAAAGCTCCACTACATCATTAATCTTACAAAAGCACAGATATCTGTCTTCACTTCTATGTTAGACAAAACAGACTGAATGCACACTTTCCTCTTGCCTGAACCATCGTTTGCCTGAATTAGCATTTTTGTGTTTATCAATGATGAGATATAATTCAACAAAGGAAATAAAACAGTCTGCTGAGTGACAAAGCTCGTGGAATGAAATGTGTCAGGTGCTGATTACAGTTGGCACTTCTTTCCCGAAATATGTTACAATGAAATGCTGACAGCTCCTATTATGACATTTCATCAGTGTGATGTCTTCTGTGTCTTTGTTGTGTCATTTACTTGGCACTGCCTATGGTTATTATCTAACCACTAGCATGTACCAGTTGCAGTTATCTGTGTAACAACTGTGCGTTTTGTAGAGGTAATGCCCTCAGCACATAAGGCAACAATACAGTGACATGGAAAAAAATGTGTTATGATCTATGCAGTCTGTCTATCTGACAGCTGAAATGACTGCATTCAGTCCCATTTCCTAAATTTGCAACAAAATAAAATGCACTTGATACATTGTTTTTTATTGCTATAGCACAATCACTCATTAGAAGGGCATGTTTAATTTGCTACAAGAGCAGTCTCGCACAGCTGTAGAGAAAAAAACTACATGTCCTTCTCTTGGATTCAGAATCAAACACAACTTGTACATTGTTAATTGGTCAATAAAGTAATACATTTTATGATTTGAAGGTTCTTATTTTTTACCTTGATATTATACTCTATAAAAATACTTTTTGACCTTATAACAGGGTTGCATAAACAGAAACAAAAGTGATTTAACTCCTAAATTGAACAGTGAGATTGCAGGGGCATGACCTATTAGCAAATACTGCTTTATTAAGTTAACTTTGTTTTGATGTGTATAGTATCCCTGTAAACATTCCTATTGCGCATGTGTCAGAATAATGCAAAATACATCACATCTCTCCCCAGCTAGGTCCTCTGCCTTGACTGTCTAGAGTATGACAATAGCACAGATTCCTACTTTTAGCCAGCTCTTGGTAAGAACTGGAGAACTACTGTGATGACACATGGCAATGCTCCCCTGTCCCAGAGTACTCTTTCCCCCCTCTCCCGTGTACCATAGTATTCTTTGCTCTCGCCCCTCCCTCATATTATTTTACCCCCAATCCCCTGTCCCATACTGTTTATTCCCCCCTTGGTCCCCGGTAAGTCTCCTACCTTTCTGGTAGCGTGGGGCGGAGCGGACCGTGGTACAGGAGTATTCAAAACCAATGCCAACAATTTTACAATTTGTACCAGGGTATGCAAACGTTTGAGCACAACTGTAGTCTCTCAGGAAACAGTTACACTAGATTTAACAGATACTGACTAATAAGACAAAACCTAGCATTGAAAGTGAATAAGTATTTGAAGCTTTTCTGCTCGTTTGTTTGTTTGTTTGTCTTTTATAGAATGCTTGTTTATATGCATAGTGTGCATCTCTTTGGCAAGGAATGGCATGGTGTTTAGAAACATCTGTGTGGCAAATCTGTCATAGTTTTACCCTAGTGACAAGGAATGAAAAGTCATAATTCCATAAATATATTGTGATGTTTATTAACATTCTTTCTCACTACCAAAAAAGTGTCATACATGGGGAAAGGAATAGATAATTTAATCTATTTTCAGCAATATCAGGCCTCACATGAAAACACTGCAAGGTTTTATTTTCATAACTGGGGATTTTGGAAAGTTGAGCATGTATTAGGCCCAGAACAATCAAACTGGAATAAAAACAGAGTTGAAGATTTTATTTTTCTAAATTGTACAATCTCCTTCCTAATTCTCCTCAATTCCCAATCTAGTGAATAAACCCTGCAATGCCTGCAACCCCAGCAGGATGGATGCAAGTTGAGAAAAGAAGCATATTTGAGTTGGGTCATTGTTCAACCCTTTTTCCAGTTTCCCTTGTGAGAGTATGTATCATGCAACTCAAATTGCTTTTTTATAGAAAAGTTATTCATAATTACTAAACTTTTGAGAGGCTCAATTTTTCAGTTCTTCGGTTTAGCAGAAATGTCCCCTTTTGCAGCATGGCAAGCGAGAACATGGGGTAAGTATAAAACTTCTCTTGTATTAATGTGGCAGTCATACTGGCAGCTATAGAATTATTTAAAAAAATGTGGCAGATGACTAGCAAATGCTGCCCAGTCGTCCAACAAATAACCCTTATGCCACCGAGGTAGTCAGTTCAGCTAAATTGATTTACACAACTGAATTTTAGTCAAACTGAGAAGGTACACAGCTGAACATTGGAGGTCCAAAACAAAAATGTTAAATTGAAAATTTAATTTGGGAACTCCAATGTTCAGCATTGTTTAGCAGCTAACAGCTCTGCAGTGTGCCGAATTCTGTCATGGTGTTTCGGCTCATCTGAATTTCGTTAAGGAAAGAGATTCAAAAAACAAATCAGGTGACTCAAAAGGCAGTAAAAACATATATAATACATTGCTAAACACAAATACAAACACAATTCAAGCCATAAGACTTGCTTTTCCCACAGAAATCTCACTTTAACAGTGCTCTCACTACTGCAAGGGATTCTGGGTAGGTGTATGCAAATGAGCTCAACAAAGAACCACATTTTGCCTCATTTCCACTTTATACATGGATTCCTTGGAGTATGTGTCTGCTGTATACAACAGCTTTCAAACACAACTCAGGAAGAAGAGCAAAGCCAGTGAACCACTCATGGACAGCTGTTTCGTTGCTAATGCAACTCATCAGCATGAGGTTGGTTACTGACTTGCTATGGAGACTTGGCGTTAACCAAAAGAATTGTAGTGGGGAAAAAGGTGTGGATGAAAACCCCTTCCATCTGAAATACGTGAATAGTTAATACATTGCTAAACATTGGCTTCCTGTAAGATATAGGGCTCAATTTAGATTTCTGGTTCTTGCTTTCAAATCTCTACATAATTCTGCTCCCACCTATCTATCCTCACTATTACACAAGTATGTCACGTCTAGGCCCTGAAGACTTACGTCTATCTTCTGTCCATACAACCACCTCTGATGCTCGCCTTCAAGACTTCTCCAGGGCTGCACTGTTCCTGTGGAACTCCCTTCCCTCCTCCGTTAGATGCTCACACAGTCTTCACTCTTCACTCTTCAAAAAATCATTAAAATCCCACATCTTCATAAAAGTGTATCAATT